TCCCAGGGACTGGGGGTTGCACAGTCCCACCCAGGGATCATGCTGGGTCTGGGCAGATCCTCTCATGACCCCCAGAGATTTGCCAGAGCCTTGGCAGGGGGTCACCAGCTCCAGCACCCACTCCCTGGCCCCAGCTCTGCCCTCAGCCCCACAGGGTTCCTACCCAGGACACTTTGGCACCTGCGGCTCCATCTGAAACTTCCAGGACTTTACTGATTCTCAAAGTACACCCGGTTTTGTTTGTTTTCTTACAGTGTTTTCCAAATATTGAGGTTTCTTCCAAGTGTTTTGCAAATATTTAGGTTTCAGTGCTTCCAAATCTGCTCTCCTTGTGGCAGGCAGAGAAAAAAGGGGAATTTTTTATGCTTTTAGGAGCTTTGAAAGACACTGAAATCTCCTTGCTCTGAGGTGAGCCTGGTCCCAAAGCTGAGGGATGAGCTCAGCTCTTGCAGAGTTTAATTCATTTGGAGGCTGCAGCACTATTATTTTTTAATATCAGCCATTGGCACGTCAATCACTCCAGTCCCCAGTGTCTCCTCCTGCCTCTGCCTGGTGCTCACAGCATCACTCCCCACCCCCTCCTGCCCCTGTGCAAATTAAATATCCAGCCAAATTCCTGCCCTTAAAACACTGAACACCAGCTCAGTGCTGGGAACACCAGTGCTTTCCTGTAACAGGGGCAGGGGCAGGACTGGGAGGGTGAGGATGGGGAGAAAGGGTGGGGATGGAGAGAGAGGACAAGGCTCTGAAGGCCCTGGCATGGCCAGGCTGTGTCCCCAGAGCCAGGCTGGTCCCCCTGGGTGGCTCTCTCCACCTCACCCTCCTGGGGATGGGGTCATCCCCGGGACTGGGGGTCTGTCTGCTGGTTGCCCTCCACAGCAGAGCAGCTAGGATGTGTCCATGATTAAGGGACATGCCCATGGTTAAGGGACATGCCCATGGTTAAGGGACATGGCCACAGTTAAGTGAGGCCTGAGTGAGACGCCAGGGACCTTCTAGCCACAGCTTTGCTTTCGGCAGCTTTATGAAGATTTACAGCCATGATTACTTCTTTCATTTGTTGCAAAATATTTTAGTGCTTTCGATGTGTCAAAATAAGGTTTGTCCTGTCTTGCCTGGCAGAGGATGGAGGCAGGGAGGGAGCTCTGGCGGGCAGTGCCTGTTTCCCATGCTGCCATTAACTAGTTAGGTGCTGTGAGTTGCTGCTGTATCCCTGCTGGGTTTGTACCCCACTCTGGACTGTGGTTCTGCTGGTGCTGATCCCCAGGATGTGTACCCCCTGTCCATCCCCACATCCCTCTTGACTGCCAGAGCCAGGCAGGTGCCTGGGGAGCTCAGCCTGTGCTGCAGTGTCGTGCCCTGAAAATTAAAGCCATAAATTGCCAGGGTGTGATCTCGCCCTCCCGCAGGGGGGAGGTGGCCCAGCCAGGGCTGCTGCTGCTGGCAGCAGGCCAGGGGGACACCCTGGGGGGGCAGCTGGGCTGTGGGAGCAGCGTGGAGCATCCTTCCTGGTCCCCAGCATCTTTGCTGGTCCTGAACAGCTTTCCTAGTACCGAGCATCCTTCCCAGGGCTGAGCATCCTTCCCATTACCAAGCATCCTTGCTGAGCATCTCTCCTGGCACCGTTTTGATCTCACGGCTGCTTTAATCCAGCAGACAGTGATTGCCAGGGCCCCGGTGCCGCCGCTCCGTGCCCGTCACCGAGCTCCTCGGGTGCTGAATTGTTCCCTGACTGACAGCTGAGCAGCCCAGACAGGTCTATTATTTCTCTGGGGCCCGGGCCCCGCGGGCCTGCAATTTAAGTCTGCGCTATTAACCCTGCCTTGTTCTCCACTTTGTAACTGCTTTAGTGCCTTTAAAAGTGTGCAGTTAAAATTGGGGTTAATTAGGGGCCCGGCAGCTGGGCTTGGTGGTGCCCATTGTGTCCCAGCAGAGCCGGGGCTGGGGCCGGGGGTAATTGGGGATTGTTGTGGGTTTGTGCCACGGCACAAGCCCTGGATCGTCAGCCTTTGGTTTGCCTCGGTCTCTCCTGCTGCAGGGGTGGCTTTGGCTGGATTCCCTCCCCTCCTTTCTCCTCATCTTTCCTTCTTCCCCGACTCTTGTGGGCTGTGGCTGCAGCCAGGCTCAGTGTGAAGGGACCCCAGGGATGCTGGGGACACTGGGAATGTGAGGGATGGGGGAGATATGGGGATGGGGAGTGAGTGATGCAGAAGATTGGGAGGGTGGGGATGCGGGGCATGCAGGAGGGGCGGGGGGGAGATGCCAGATGCTGGCAGCAGGTCCACAAGCTGGGGGAGACTTCTGGGGGGGTTCTGAGGGACACCCATGTCCCCTGCCCTTCTATCCCCATGGGACACTTTGCACAGATCTGGTTGCTCCAGGCACGGCGGGGCCGGCGCTCCCCCGACCCAGAAACCAAGATTTATTCCGGGTCGCGGCACCGGTGGGGTCTGGGCTTTACATCTGTGTCTGGAACCAGGTTTGGTGGCCAATTTGCTAAAGTAAAAAGTTGTTTAGCTGGAGGCGTAATCTTATAAGCCGGTGCTGCCATTCTAATGGCTTCTCCTTTCTGCCCAGCTTTCCAATAATGCTTTGAGCAGAAGCTGGGAGTAATATGAAAAGCCATCGGATTATTACTGCGGGCGATGCATTTTCCATTTACAGTAATAAAATACTGAAGAAACAAAACAATTTAAAATTCCAATAAAATTCAAAACAAATCTTTGGCTGCTGAGCAGATTCAATTATTTAGCTGTTATTGAGTGCAGGCTGGAAAAAATAGAGCAGGTCAGGGAGGGAGGGGGGAGCCCGGCGCTAGGGCTGTGTTGGCTGCATCCTGTGGGATGGAGAGAGGGAGCTGGGAGCTGGTGAAGCATCTTCTGGGAGGAGCAGCTGTTGGTGGGTGCTGGTTGTCTGGCTTTGGGCTGGGAAGAGCTGGGGCTGCTGGTGGCAGGGAGCCCGGTAGAGGGAAACCAGGCTGGCTGAGGTCCCACCGGCCCGTGGTGTGACAGTTCTGATGGTTGTAGTTGGAGTTCAAGTCCCAGGACTGCCTGCGCCTGACGGGTGACGGCGGTGGCTGGGAGAGTTTGCATCTCGCAGTAATTACAGCCCGTTAGAAAGCAGTAATTACCATTACCGTGGCGAGGGGGAGCGCGGGAGCCGCCAGCGCGCCGGGCCCCGCCGGGAAATCGGTCGCTCTTGTCATTTCCCCCGGCGGGGGCTCGGGACGTCACCCTGATAGATGACAACACACCCCGTTGGTGGCTTGTCACATCCAGCCCTGCTCCCTCGCGGGCACCGAGGTGCTCCCCGGCACGTGCTGGGTGTCCTGGGCCACGCTGGGCTCACCCCAGCAGAGAGCAGCTCCAGGGGAGCTACGTGGGGCCATCCCAAAGGTGTCACCTGCAGAGCTGGCGCTCGGGGACAGGGTTTTGGTGACTCTCGGCAAGATGCCGCAGTGCCCGCGGGCGATGCCGCCTCCCTCCCTCCCTCCCTCCAGCAGTGGCCTCTTTTTTTTTTCTTTCATTATTTTTGCTTGGAAAGGAGCATTTTGGTGGAACGAGCTCATTAGGGATTCCGCAAGTGTCACGAGCTAATTAGTGTCATGTTAATTGAGTATTCACGATGCTGCCACCTCCAAGGACAGCGGTGCTGGCATGAAGGGGAATGCAGATGTGCGTGGCTGGCAGTGCTGGGCAGTGTGCTGTGCCATGCCCGTGCCACTGGGCAGATGAGGTCCTGCTGACAGGACCCACCAGCTTGCAGGGTGCCTGTGTCCCTTGTGCCACTGCTGGTGGCCAGTGTCTGGGATCAGGAGCCTTCTGGAGGCTGGATGTGCTGGTGGCACAGCTCGTGACACCACGTGCAGGCACCTGTCCTGCCATCAGGAGCTGCTGGTGCCATGCCTGCTGTCTGCAGGCAGCTGCATTAAATCCTCCTCAAAGAAGCCGGTTTTAATTGGCTTAATATCCTCGTTAATAACAATGTCTGCTTCAGGCACCTGTGAAAAGCCCGTGACAGCAGCTGGGCAGGAGGAACTGCTCTGCCACTCACCCTGCCCAGGACATCCTGGCTGCTCTGCTCTGCTGGGGTGGCTGGAGAGCGGCCTCAGCCCTGCAGCTCCAGCTCCCTGGCCGGCCCTGTCAAAGGGAAGAACAGGGGGTCCTGCAGCAGCCACTGCCCCAACCTGCCCTTGGAGCCTGGATTTGGAGCGTGGCTCCAAAAAACCCAGCTGCAGGCAGGAGCTGAGACCAGCATTCCCAGGATGCTGCCGGGGAGGGGCTGTGGGACCAAATCAGGAGCAAACATCATCCCCCACGTACCTGCTTGTGAGTGTGTGGGGATTTTAAACACCTAATTTATTCCATCTATTAGATAGATTTTGTAGATTTAATCATTTTCACAGTTGGTGGCTCATTGGATACTCAAGATAAACTCCAAATGAAAGTATAATGGGTACGACAAATGAGTTTTTACACCAGAATGGCAGAAACTTCCTCGGGAAAGTGTTTGAAAGGAACAAAAATATATACATATATATTTTTTTTTTCTGCAGTGGCTTTTGCTGACTCCAGTAGGTTACCACAGTTAATTTCACCAGTTTTGTTCATCTGTAAAATTGCATAAAAGTGACATTTTTGTGCTCATTATAGGAAGTGCTGATTTATGGCTGGTAAATGCAGTGCTTTTCCATTTTTGGTGAGGTTCTCGTAGCAGCGCAAAGCACCCATGAAATTGCTTGTATAATGTAGTTTAAATCCAATCTCGGAGAAAGATTCCCCCGTTGGGTAAAGTGACATTTCCATTCTCCATACCGAGTTTATTTTAGGCCACTTACAAGTGACTCCGTCAGCGGGAGGGGACAGGTTGGTGCTGTGACCTGGTTTCTGCCCGGAGTGGGTGGGAGCCGGGCGATGGGTGGATGGGGGGGGTGATGGTGGGGTGATGGGTGCCCTGATCTCCTGGTGGCACTGGATTCACCCCACGCTCTCCTCCCGCAGGCGAGGCAGTGGCACCCATGCATTCCCCGCGCTACCCCAGCCCCGCCGAGCTGGATGCCTACGCACAGAAGGTGGCCAACAGCCCGTTGACCATCAAGATCTTCCCCACCAACATCAGGGTCCCCCAGCACAAGCACCTTAACCGGACGGTCAATGGCTACGACACCACGGGGCAGCGCTACAGCCCCTACCCCCTGCACGCCA